GGCAGAAATGTTAGGTTTCAATTGTTTTAGTTACAAAAATATAAATATATAGGATATACATAAACATTTAATGCTTTGGACTGGATCCAACACGATATATCCCGACACATATATATACCACAGGTATACACCAACACAATATCCCCAGACACATATATACCACAGATATTGACAAACACAATATCCCCAGACACATATATACCACAGATAATCCCCCGACACAAACACATATTTCTTACAGAGCTGGCCATATGAGATAGAATTTACCCATGAGGGAAATGCATGCAAGATTATAAGACTTTTTCATGCCCATGGGTGTAAGATGGAAATTCGATCCAAGGGGTTTTCAAATTGGGTAAAACCCTCCTTAGCAAGCCTTGGGTTTTACAAACTTCAAAAACTCCTCTGTTGAAATTTCCCTACCCTACACCTCTGAGCATGAAAGAGTTTTTTTCTCTCATTGCAAAAGGCATTGTAATTCCCGGATCACGGCATTGGAAGGTTATTTTTTTCATGAAATCACTTCATTGATGTCCTAATGTGATGTCGCACACAAGAATTTGGGCTTGAGTCACCATGATAATGAGATGAGTGTATACATACTAGCATGTCATACCATTGAGTCGACAGTGTACTAGCATGTCATCCCATTGAGTCGACAGTGTACTAACATGTCATACCATTGAGTCGGCAGTGTACTAGCATGTCATCCCATTGAGTCGACAGTGTACTAGTATGTCATACCATTGAGTCGCCAGTGTACTAGCATGTCATCCCATTGAGTCGACAGTGTACCAGCATGTCATACCATTGAGACGACAGTGTACTAGCATGTGATACCATTGAGTCGACAGTGTACTAGCATGTCATACCAGTCTTGTTTTGAGATCTTGTGGTAAGGCTTCAAAGATTAATAGTTTCACATCAAGTTGTTTTTAATGGTATAAAAAATACAAAATATTTTGATTTTTTTCTTTGATTATGAAAATATTTCATATACAATTTCTGCTAAGATGCCTAATGGGCCTGCAACACTCACCTGGTATTATCTCTCACTTGTAACGTTAAAAGTACAGCGATGGACTAAAATAAAGCTACAGGCAAAATATAAGTATCTATGTTTCTCATTCAAAAGAATCTGTTAAAAGATTTCAACACATTTGACCCCTGTGACCTTAAAGGTCAAACAAGGACATGAAGTTGAACAAACTAGCCCTTCATCCCGCATCAACTTGCTAAATATCACCACCCTTCATCAAAATGAAATTGTTTTGAATAACTTTGGTGAGGAAATGTGGTGAAATCATAAATATATATAATTGGGTTTGGTAACACATTGAACATCTCATTAATAATATCAGGCATTTCTATAATCCTTTTTTGAAATCAGATATTCTGAAATTGCTATTAAATGACTAAAGCTTAAGTGACACATAGCACACTCATGAAGTCACAGCATTCATAGACATCCAACATGTAAAATTAGTGTGGAAAAAAACTGCTTACATCTCCTAAAACATACACAGGTTCACTTCAAATAAATACTGTCATTGTCCAATTCATTTACACAACACCAGGGACCTATTGTTGGTCACCAACAAAGCCAGACTGACCATATCATTAGTGGCTGTCGCTACTGTTGGTCACCAACAAATCTAGGCGGACTGAAATAGGTTAATTATATTATTATTTAGTTAAGATATTTGGTGCAACTTGAAAAGCATTTCTGACAGAACTTAACAAATTTCTTAAACATTGTTATCATTCTAGACAAACACACAAACTTCAAAAATGTAATAAATATACAATTTGGTGGCACAGGGATGATACATCAGAGAGCAAACAATATCTACAGTGTGTTATTATTGAGTAAGCCCTCAGAGTCTACATAGGGAATCAATGCTATAAACTTAATCTCTGTATCACCCCTGAAGCAATCAGCAACCTTCTGATAAGAATGTTGTGTACATAAATTAACCAGAAAGCTCTATACATGGTAATGCATACCGTTTAGTCGACATTCCTCATGTCTCTAAATACTCACTAAAGACTGCAGACAAAAAACAGCTGTTTCTGTTCTATTAGTCCAGTAACAAAAACATTATTGGACTATAAAAATGTACAATATACCTAACCTTACATCTCAACAGACATATAACTTAAATATTTAAATATAGCACTGCTTCATTGTCACTGCCATTATAAATTACTTTTACCACATCAGATCATACGGGACAGGAAACCACATCAGCACAAATCTCGGACAGTGTCAGACTTCTGACAAGGCCATAATTATCATTGTTGTTATTTCCATTACTTTTATATCAACTAAACACTAATGTTAGTCTGGATAGTAACATGTCACCCAGTAACAGTCTGGATAGTAACATATCACCCAGTAACAGTCTTGATAGTAACATGTCACCCAGTAACAGTCTGGATAGTAACATATCCCCCAGTAACAGTCTGGATAGTAACATGTCACCCAGTAACAGATATATCAACTAAACACTGATGTGAGTCAGGATAGTAACATGTCACCCAGTAACAGTCTGGATAGTAACATGTCACCCAGTAACAGTCT